TGACTGGAGTTCAGACGTGTGCTCTTCCGATCTTTTTCCGATTTTTTATTCGATCGCTAGCGTGCTGCAACCAATGTTTTATAAATGTTTCTATGTCGTTTCTAGAAACATTTTTTATTTTCGACTCAAAGTCAAAAAGAAGTCAAAAAATATACCTATGGAATACTTTTTAACTATCAAAAAGGAATTCTTTTTTATTTCATTTCGAACAGATTACGCAAATTCGAAAAGAACTCAAGAAAGTGAATTCTTTTTGAAATCAAAAGGATCAGTGGTGTTATCTGGAAAATATGATTGATATAGGCATATTGAAATTCTTAAAAAGACCTTTTTAAAAATAGAAATATATATAATATATCAGGAGACGCGGTAGCGTCTCCCGTCTGTATACTTTTTCGATACATCGATGATGAAGGGGTTGATAATTGTTGAAAATGGTGCAATTGATGTTTGATAGATGTTAAGTACGTAATTCGACAGAGGTTTAAATTAATGTTTGATTTTGGTTTGATAGACATTTGATAGACGTTTAATTAACAGTATTTCGTCTCGTACTTTGAAATCTCGGTATATGCCTCGTATATTGGGATGGAAGTTTGCGGCGACAGTTGCAGCGGCGACGACGACGACAATGTCAGTACTAGCGGCGGTAGCGGCAGTGATGTCGGTGACAGCGGCGATGACGCCGCGTGGCACCAGCGATGGCAGCTGCACCGGGGGTGCAACGTTGCTTTTAAGAGATATTAATTACACTCTGTGATGCTAACCTGCCGTGTTTTATAAGTGTTTCAATATTAAAATAAATATAATATAATAATAAATATAATAAATATAATAATAAAATAAAATTATAAGTATTCTGATATACTGTTTACATAATTTAGCTTGTTAATAGATTTATGTAATTTAATTTGCCTATGCGAGTTCAAACAACGAGTTCGAACAAACCTTCAATTTGAAAGATTTTTAATGTTCGATTTTGAGAACTGTTTAAACTTTTTAATCTGAAGTTTCCAAACTCTTATTTCAAGGAAATTCGAAAGATGTGCATTTTAATTATTGATCAAAATATTCTACATGTTTGTTAAATTACATAACTATTAATTATGCTGTTGATTGAAAACATATTTTAAATTCTTTATGATACACATGTTCGAGAATAAATGGAACAGCCAAGTGTTAATTACAAATGTGTTTTATGTAATTACAAGTCTTGTACAAGTTTTGATACCTATAGGATAACGGTATACAATATACATTATACACATTAATGTATTATATTTATATAAAAACATAGTTATGACGTTGCTTAATAAAAATGTATTCCATTAGTTTATTCATGCTTATCTACAATATATATATGTTATTACGCGCAAAGAAAGTAATTTAGATACTTAAATGCTCATGTTCAAGGATGCGTTTGATATATGATTAAATATTCGTCTTGAGAATTGATAAAAATCATAACATTGTCATTCTTTTACGATGCTATATTTTGTGATTGAATGAAGTTTTTTTTCCATTTTACCTAACAATTAATACATATTTTTAAGTTGTATAATACATCAAATAAGAATTAGAAAATAGTAAATAAACTATATACATATTGCGAATGTTCGAACCGACGGATGCCGTTTTTCTAAAATAGCCCGTGCATTAATACTCCATATAGAAATCAAATTGTAAATATATATATTATACAGTTCCTTGCCATATTATTAGACACATATTCTTTTTTAATTTATTGTCTTCTCATAATCAGATTTATATGTTACAACTCATCATTGTTGTAATAGATTGAAACACGTAAAGAAAATAATTGCCTACAAAATGGATTTGTTGTAACAATACGTCATTCACTTACCATTTACAATGTTTATGAAAAAATATGAATCTGCGATAGCGAGTGTAGATGCAACAGCAAGAAAATCAGACGTGTTTTCTACTTCTGTTATAAAAATTTCATTTTAATTGTTTATTAATAATGAACTTTAATTTAAAAATTACATAATATTATTATTTTAATTAGAGGCTATAATAGTCTCCAATAGTGGCTAAACGAAATATAAAAAGATATTTTTTATATTTTACAAAGATAATATTTGGCGAATGTTATCACTGTATTTTTATTAGTTCAAAATAAAAGAGAAAATTCTATTTTAGATGTGTAGCAATAAAAATAGCTGTCATCCTCGGCCCTAAAGATAAATCTATCAAAAAAATTTTTGTGTTTAATAATATCGGGGGAACTATATATAAAATATACTCACAATTATTCACCATTATATAATAATAGAGTGTAACGTCATTACAGTATAATGATATGTTACAGCTATACGTATATTTAGGTCTTCGCATTTTTTTTTGTCAACATAATTAGCTGATACGAAAAGTAACAAGTTATCGTGATTGATCTGTTATAGTTGCCTATAATTTCTCATTTGGTTTTGCAAAGAGATAAATGTGTGATAATCATTTCTCACACATATGACACCACATCTAAAAAGATATTCTGTTTTTTTCTTTCTTATTATGAACAAATTGATCTGTACCTAAGGATAATATGCATATATAATTTATTGGTTCAATCATTAGAATATCTTTGGATTATAGCAAAAATAATTTTGCTTTTATTAAAATTAATTTTGTTTTGACTGATTAATAATAATTAATAAGGCAATAGTGCAGGTCCTTCGTTTTTCGTATCATTTTTTAGAATATTTTGATTAAGGTCAGTCTTCGCACAAGTAATATTATATTTAAAAACTGCGATTATTCGTATTATATACTATGCGTAGAGTTTAATTTGTATATGCATATGTAACGTGATATGATCGATATAACGCTTGATATGATCTGATCTGTGAGCGCTGGAAAAATGTGATTTTTCGGAGAAATGTGATTTTACTTTAATATTTCAATATCATAAGATTCAAAGAGTTGGCTCGCAACAATTTAAACGAGATACAAAACATAGTGATTATTTGATAGGGAAGCTATAAAGCTTCATTTCTCTGATATACATCAATATCATGAAAAATACTTAATTATTCAAAATACGTTACTATTCTTCCATGATGCAACAACATGATTAATTATTGGCAGAAGAGATGTTTCAATGCGGATTCACAAAGAAGCGTTTGCAAGTCCTTGTTTCTAATTCTATCACTTGATGGACTTTGAACATATATCGGTGGAACAGCCGAAAAAAATGGACACATATTGTATTTCCGTGTACGCGTCAGTCGTATGTTAAGAGATCGAAACGGCGCTGCGAAGCTTAATTCAGTACTGTGGAAAGTGTGAAGTAATACATACGAAGAAATGTCTTAAATGAGCGTTCTAATAATAGACCATTTTAGCGAAATTTCTTTCTTCTCTTTTCTTTAGCCAGCTTAGAGAGAAACGTGAACCATGCAAGAAGTTCCGTTGAAAAATACAGATCTATAAGTATAGTATCTGTATAGGATTCTGTATCCAATATTTTTCAAAACAGTCTTTTCCCTTCCGCTAATATTTGATTTAATTAATATATTAATATTTGACCAAGATTTTAGCTAGTTCAAAATAAAGCGTGAGTCATGTCTCCAGTTCTCGTGATATTTTCCCTCACAATATTTCTGCAGCGTTTCTCGGATCGCGCGAATCGCGATTCATGCTTTCGATGACATCACCGACCGGCGCATCTGATCATTCCTAATAACACGAGTATACTGAGTATTTTGGTGCATTTATGCATCCAGTACAACCTGCAACATATCGATACGATCAATTTATTTCTTTGCTCAGTATTTTGTGGGCCAAAGGGCCATTTTTACCAAATTCAACACAATCTGTTATGAAAATATTATTTCATTCATTTATTTGTCATAGTAAACTTTTATTTAAACATTACGTAATATTATTATTAGAATCAAGACTCTAATAGCCGCCAATAGTGACTTAACAAAATATAAAAAGAAAAATATATACTGACTATTAAAATTGCAAGAACTTTTAAGTGTCAATTGAAATTGATCGATTCTGGTCTGCTTAATGACAAATGCGATTAATCAATTATAATCGAAATAATCGGCCGATTAAGTTAATGAAAGCGCAAAATTGGCCCTGAAAAAGTTGTAATGTGTACGAAGTTGAGAAAGACTTACTTCGATAATCGATTTCGGGCGTTATTTAATGTGTCTAGATTGTCTTTCAGAATATACTTTCGGATTCCTAGCATGTACTGATGCAAGTACACATCCCAATCGACATTTCCAATATCCACGTCGAATTTCCCACACTCTCCCGACGCTCTTACAAATTTCACCAGTTTCATCATGTTACCCGTATAAAATTTCCACTCGTTCATTGCGAAGAATTCTCCGGTTTTAGCGGCGCGTTCGAACCGCTTGGTGATCTTCACCATTCTGAAAGGCGTATTTATTGTTTAACGAAACAAAATAAAATTTCCGCCCGATTGAAAATCACAGGGAGAGTACTCACATAGGTTTGCAACCTTGAGCCCTTAATATAAGATCTACGATGAATGCAGGTACAAAGTGCAACGTGGCCACTATGATAGCGTGAATAAATTTGTTTGTCCTAAATGTGAAGTCTGGATACCACATCACGTACTTCGATGGCGATTCTATAGCGTGTTTCCTCGTAAGATATCCAAATTCGCCCCATCTACAAAAATTAATAAACATATATACATATGCACATATATATAAAGAATGAGAACGTTATTTAACAAAAAATCCGGGAAAAAATTTTTCATATAAGAATATATATAAATATATATAAATATATGTAAAAATTATATAATTATATATAATTATACATAATTAAATGCAAAATATGTCCATACATATCCATATATGTTTCTTTTCTTTGTAAAATTATTGTGTGATACAATTAAAAAAAATTATAATAATAAAAAGGAAACATAAAAAATAATTAAAAGAATAATTTTTGCAATGTTTTTTTTACAAAAAGTTTTAAGAAATGAGAAAAAATTGTTCATATATAATTATATATGTATATATATATATATATAAATACGTATATGCAGGGGTATTCTCGGTCAAGCGGACCACCTCCTCTGTCTAAAATTCAGCTCAACCAAAAAATTTCTTCTTTGGCTCAAATTGTAGATACACATGTTTACTTTCATTAGCAATCTGGCCTTTTTGAAAATTTAATATGGCGAATCTAGAATCGCGACTAGAATGGACTGTCGTCAAAAAATTTTTGGAACTTTAATTACTGAAGCACAGAGAGCTAAAAAATTTTTCTATTTCCATAAATTAAGGTTTTGGGGATCGCTGAATACAAATCCGCAGTCATAATTATAAATTTCACAATAGCGAACCAATATGCCGGTCAAACTTCAAATAATGCAAATTCCATTATTTCCATATTTTATGTACCATATCGGCTCAACAGCCTTGAACTTTAAGTAAAGATCGATAATTTGCAATCAAAAATCCAATAAACCAATGTCTACACATTGATTGACCAAAAAAATCTTTCAACTTGAACGTTGCAAAATGCACTGGTCATATTCCACCCATATTGCATTTGATATCTTGAATCCTGCTTTAATAACTGATAATTCCATGATTGGTGACTTAAAAAACTCCAGTTTGGTGAGTCTTGTGCAAAAAATTTGCATTATTTGAAGATTGGCTAAGTTTGGCCAGTATATTGGATTCATTGTTTTATAATTATGACTGCGGATTCGTATTCAGCAATCCCCAAACCTTAATTTATGGAAATAGAAAAATTTTCTAGCTCTCTGTGCTTCAATAATTAAAGTTCCAAATTGCCATAAGTTTTTTGATGACAGCCCATTCTAGCCGTGATTCTGAATCCGCCGTATTGAATTTAAAAAAAAACCAGAGTGCTAATGAAAGTAGACATGTGTACCTATAATTTGAGCCCAAGAAGAAATTTTTTGATTGAGCTGAATTTTGGACAGAGGGAGTGGCTCGCTTGACAGAGAATGCCCCATGTATATAATTTTTTCCATGCATGCTTTGATACCTGCATTCTACAGCTAGGTTTAGCCATAGAGCTTCAATTATTGCATTTTCTTAGAAAAAACAGTGATAAAATTCAAAGGATAATAAAATATTAAAATTGTTATAAAAATAAATTTTTCTATAAAGTTGTTTTTAATTTTTTTTTTTTTTCGTTAGATGTAGAACAAGAGTATGTTTACGAAAATCCGTGCTTTTTCCAAGAAAATGCAATAAATTGAGGGTGCTTTATACTGCAAATAGGAAATAGTTCAAAGAGAATTTGATGGAACACATAAAAATATGAATGGAATTTTATAAATAATCGTAAATTATAGATTAATTATAGATAATTTTTTAATCAAGCTTAAAGAGCGTTTTTTAAAAACTCTTTTATCGAAAAATTAATTGGGTTACACCAAATCTAATTCGCATCGTGTATGATTAAAAATATATCCGCGATTTGAATATCACGTCGTGGAAAGATTGCGAGCAAGAAATAGCCGTTTTACTTGAATGTACAAGTACTTATAGCCTAGTCATTAGGTTTCCCTTCCGTTCTGCTTATCGGACACTGTGTTCTTGAAGAAGAAACGCCTCGCTCATATATCTACGACCTGTATATTTCCATTCTTACCGCTTTAATTTATGTAAACCCATGCGCTCGATATTGACACGGTACTTTCACCTTGTTTCACGTATGAAGAACATATAGATAATTTAACACATTATTATTACTGTGCCGGAAGCCTGATATTGATAAGTACTTATAGCCGGCAGCGTTTATTGATCGCGCGCCAATCGATTAGAGAGGGTCTATTAATTGGCAACGAATATTTTGTTATTCTTATCATTCTGTAATTTATTTATTAGAATATACTGATTATATGTTTTTCTTCGAAAAATGTCTATAATAATACGTTATTATTCGGCAATGTATGTCGCGCGCTTGTTTGTCCACGAACGGTAAAGTATTAACAATATCGCGGGACGAAATATTTCCATGACAAAATAATTTGAGTTGAGGTAATTTTAAAGATTTGTGCTCAATCTATGTATGTATGTATAGATATCATATATGTAACTTACATGTATATAGATTCATCAATCTCCCGTCGATCGGCATTGCTGTAGGCCGTGCTGACGTGAATGACACTAATAAGGTTTGTCATGCGCTTACACAAGTCCAGCATGCGATCGGTGCCCATCGTGTTCAGATTAACGGCGATTTTCAGAGGCTCGTTGAAACGCACGGTGGCCGCGCCATGGAACACGATGTTAACTCTTTGTATCAGCATATCCCTATCTTCGGGCTCGAGTCCCAACTCCGGCAGACCTACGTCACCCTTCACGGGGAAGATCTTGTTCAATGCGCCCGGAAACTCTGATCGTATCCTCTCGAAAACCTGCCACAGAAAAAGGGATACATTTTTCGCTTTGTTTTATAAGAGTGTGCAAGAAGCGCACGGAGAAATATAATCGTAATATTTTGTGTGTGTGTGTGTGTGTGTGTCAAGATGCATATAAAATATAAGTTTACATATTATAAATGTTAATATGTATATATAGGGTAACTCCGGTATATATGCCGCATCTATTAAAAACTTAATTTATCAGATATTATTAATTATATTTAAGGTAAATGAATTATATCAGTAAAAACTTTAGATTGTCTACTACTATGAAAAAATATTAGGAATCCAAAATATTTATTTTTTACATTTAAAAAAATTCTTTAAACCCTTGCATTTTTGTCGTATAAAAATATAGGTGGGTTATACGGCTACTTACGGGTGGGATGAATGATTAAAAAAAATATACAAATAATCTAAATAATAATAGTGAATAACACGTGAATTGACAACGTAATTTGTATTTACTCATTAATAAATGAATAAAGAACGTGTTACAGATTATGAATAAGTATGTACATATATAATTTGTATATACATACATAAACGTTATGATTAATGTATTGTAAAGGGCATATTATCACGTATTATTATTTACTTTTATATTTATAAATAAATAATAGAGCGTATGTGCTACGGAATAAATCTCACGCGCTAAAAATGCCGTATATCCCAAACAGATGGGATATACGATACAATAAACTTAACAAAGAATACATGAGCTAAACACTTGTATTTTGCTATACTCTATCCTTTACTATTCCTCTATGCTTATGTACCACGAAGCCTTTTACATTTCCTACAATAATCATTTTACGTAGATTATAACTTATGATTGCGCTATTTATTACAGTGATAAATCGATTTAACTTACAATAATTTTATAAATATTAATAGTAAAAACTGAAAGAACACAATACAATAATATAACATAAAGGCATGTAACAGAATGGTTGCGAGAAAATTAGTTTTACTTCTTCTATTTTTTCTGACTTCCGTAAATCCTCGCGCAGCGTATATACCGGAGTTACTCTATAATCTATATATATAAAATAATAAAAATATAGTGCGCGCGCACATACACACACGCACACACACACACACACACACACACACACACACACACACACACAC